CCCCTCTGTTCACAGCAACATTGAGAAGATTGGTGTCTCTTAGCTGGCCATGATGGGAGACTAGAATGGCTACAAGGGAGACTCCTGGCTTGTGGACACCTTGTGCGGTTGGCGGGGCAAGGCGAGCTGGCAAAGCTCCATGTTTCACTCTTCGTTTCTCTTTACATCTCCATTGTTTCATTTCCTAGTCTCTATTACCTCTCTCTTACTCTAGCATGCTTTGTGGGAAGACTTCCGGTTTGGGATGTGGAGACTCTTTCCAAGATGCTCTCTGCTGACTCTGTCAGTGGCACACACGAGCTGAGCCCCTGAAGCACCATGGGGTGGGGGTGGGGTTTCCAATGTTTCTCTAATTACCTCCCAAGATGATTTACAGAAGGCCACAGATTCTCCTTATGGAGTTTGTCTACTTCCAAGAGAAAGCAAAGAGCTTGGCTAACACAAGAGTGGAAGCGTGACTCCCGAAAGCTTGGTTTAACTGGGATGCCATTTATACTTTTGTAGCCTTTCTAGGTGACAGGCAGGGAACTTGGCTTCTGGTACGTAGAGCAGGCCTCTAGGCTGGTGTGACAAGGCACTTTGTCAGTGAACCCCTCCTGGGAGGGTTTCCACTAAACTCCGTAGCAGGGGAGCCATAGCATCTTCTGCTGCCCTACAACTCTGCTGGCCCATCCCAGCTCCACATCAGCTGCCTGTGGACTCGCAGAAGCAGCAGTGTGGGAAGGCATCAAAAGCTGGCTGGGCAAAGAACAACTACACCTGCTTCTTGGCTCTCCTACCTCATCTGAGGCTCCAAGATCCTGCTTCTGTTTGCTACCATGAGTTTGCTTGAACCCAGGTCTGGAGCTCACTTACCAGTGTGCACTCTGTGGGCTCCCATCCTGGAGAAGTAATTCCTCTTGGAGAAGGCTAAACCCATTTTCAAAGCATGCCTGGGAAGGACCTTGGGCAGTCACTGAAGCCAGTTCCATAGCATAGGCAAAACGGTACCCAGAAAGGTCAAGTCTCTCTGGACTCTTAAGTTCCAGGCACTGCTGTTGCCTGACCACAGGAGAAGGATCAAATGCATCCTGCCTTGTTAGGCCCATCCTAGGTATATCCCTGAGGACAGACAGTCTCCATGAACATGGTCCTTGAATCAGAACTCAGAGTAAAGAGAATTTCCCATGACTGAGCCTGGCTGTTTCTCCACCCCCATATCCTATCCTTCCACTTAGTCTTCAGCTCCACTGCCCTCCTCCACTTTAACATTTATTTACAACTCCCAATGGAGCTCTAATGCCTCCAAGTGGGTAACATTGGGTCCCATCCCACCAACTGCCATTCTTTTATCATAGTCTTGCTTGGTATGGTCTGAAAGGATCTAAATGTGTGTGTTTGCCTAGTTTTTGCAGGGAGAGGCTGTCTCTTCCACTGGAATTTAACACCACAAGAACAGAAAACCTGTCTGTTTAGCTTGACACTATTTCCCCAGTGTCCAGCATGTGACAGTTACTCAATAAACATATGCCAAAGAAATCCGTGTCTAACAGCAGCGACAGCCTTAACTCACCTGCAAAGGCTTTGCTAAGGATGATAAGCAGGTCTTTCTCAGTGAAAGAGGAGGAAACACCTCCTATTGATGCCTTGGGGGCATCATTTAGTTGACTGCCTCCTTGAGGAGGATGTTGTCATATGGCTCTTGTTCCCTTCCACAGAATTCTTCTGAGTTCAGATAGCTCAGATCATGTTCTGTCCCTTGTGTGAAGTCACATAACCAAGAGACAACTTACTCTTCAGTGTAGCACACAGGCTTAAAACCCGATTCTTAATCTCAAGGCAGGTATTTGCAGTAGTGTAGGATATTGATTGATTCATCTCCTCTTCTCTGGGGAGGCCTTGTGCCATAACTCACTTGTGTGGGGCCATGACACATGCCTAATTTTTGCCACTCCCTGCTCTCAGACAACCCAGTGCCATTCCCTATTGTCCCCATAGCTGATTCCCATGGCAGTTCTTGTTCAATAGAAATACAAGGCAAAGATTATTAGTAACCACACTGAAATGGTGAAGGGGATATTTTCACAATATAATTTATCTCTGTATACTGCAATGTTATCATTTCAACATGTTGTCAACCTAAAATTACCAGTAACATATAGTCATACATTGCAAAATGATGTTTTGATGGAAGAGCAATTGTGTATATGATGGTGGACTCATAAGATTATCTTTTCTAATGATGTCACGGCCATGTTAGGTGTAAGTACACTCTCATTTTCGGAAACAGTGAAATCAGCTACCTATATCCCTCGGAGCTTTCCATTGCTAATGGTTGATTATATTTTATGGTTTGGGCATTCAATCCTTTAAAGCCAGTGTGTATTCTACACTAATGGTGTATGCCGTATTAACTACCTGCATGTTCTACGGTTGGAAGCCATGTGTAGTTGATGGCTACCATACCAAGCAACTCAGTTCCAGAGTCTCTGGTAGTAAACCTGGTTTTGTGGCAATGGCTTGACCATGAGGTCCAGGTTTTGTTAGGGACCAAGTAAGAGCACCTGCTATTCTTGGTGGTGTGGGGCAGTTGGGTTGGGGCTGAGGACAAAGATTTCTGATGATGCTGAAGGGTAAAGACGGGTAGGGATGTTGGAAGCCATGGAGGTCCTGATTGAGTGCTTTTAATGTCTTCTAAATCATCTTTGATAGTGGCAAGTATTAGAGTGAATGGGCAAGCTTCGAGACCCAGGCTGGAGTTCTCTGGGAAGCCAGGTCCCCTTCCATCATAGCCAGTGGTGCCCATCTGTGTCTCACTTCTTAACGATTAGAAAAGCTAATTATTTTTAATTCCAACTTTTCAACAGGAAGATTTCAAAAATTAAGAAGTGATAAACACAACTTCTGCAGTGTGGGTCTTCTAGCGTTTCTGAGTCCTCAGCAAGAGTGTGAAGAACGGCACACGTTTCCCAGCGACCTCTTTGAAGAGCACTTGTGGATTTTCTGTCTTCCTCCCCTTTTGCTTCTCATGCTCTAATTAGCTGTGTGATCACCTAACAGTGTTTTGATCTGGACTGTATTTTTGGTTTTAATGACAAGCATTTTGTACCTTCGACTCTTTGTGAAAAGTAAGATAAATTACCTCTATTTTTCTCCCCGTTGATCAGTTACACACACGCTCTGCAAACAAAATGATCAGAGTTTTTACTTACAGATGCCTAGCTCCTGACTTTTGAACAAAATGTCATTACTCACTTGCTTCTCTGATGGGGAAACCAAGGACTTGAACAATTACTGAACTTCTCCAGTTGACTCATTAAAATAAAAAAATGGGGATTTTTTTTCCCTAATGAAAATACATTGTTCTGTTGAGTACTGTGGTTGCTAAAATTCATTTGTGATGAGATTATGTCTATGAAATGAGCAAATTTTGTAAGGAAGGGACTTCACTTTTAAGTCACAACTATTCTGTATTCTGAAATGTTACATGTACTTGTGTTCTAATTTTCATTGCTATGTCAAAATATCTGATATTAACAAAAGGGAAGAATTATTTATTTTGCATTACTGTTTCAGAGGGTTTGGTCCATAGTTCTTGGTTCTGTTGCTTCTGGGCCCACAGTAAAGCAGAGTATCATGATGGTAGTGTGTGGCCAAGGATGCTCATCTCGTGGCATCAGGAAGCAGAGAGAGAGAGAGAGAGAGAGAGAGAGAGAGAGAGAGAGAGAGAGAGAGAGAGAGAGAGAGGAGAGACAGAGACAGACACACAGAGACAGAGAATGTCTGCTCAAGCTCACTTTCTCCCTCCCCTGCTCTATTCCATTTCGGCCCTTAACCCTCAGAATGGTGCTGCCAGATTTAGGGCCTGTCTTTCCCCCATTAGCGAATCTTTACTGAGCTCCTCAGAGAATCACCCAAAATGCGCTTTCTTCTCAATCCAATCAAATTAATCATAAAGAGCAAGTGTCATAGTACTCAAGAACTACTACCATTACTACTGCCCGTTATTGTTGTTGTTATTCTTTTACCACACTGGGGATCAGTCCTGGGGCCTTGCACACACTAGGCAAGTACTCTACTGCTGAGTGACATCCCCAGACCTAGATCGACTTTTGAATGAAGGGCTAAGTTGCATCATCTTATCATTTAGTTTTATTTAGATGTGAAATTGCTTTGGGGAGTTAAAATGTTTTTAAGCTTAGCTGGGCAGTAGTGGTGTGTGCTTTTAATCCCGGGACTCAGGAGGCAGAGGCAGGTGGATCTCTGTGAGTTCAAGGCCAGCCTGGGCTACAGTTCCAGGACAGGCTCCAAAGCTACACAGAAAAACTCTGTCTTGAAAAACCAAAAAGAAAAAAATGTTTTAAAGCTTAATATTAAAAAATGATTTCTCATATTAGACATTCCTAAATAGCAAGTTATTTTGGAGAAAATTCAAAACAAATGCAACCCTCCCCCTTCACATCTTCTGCCATTGTCTCTGTAAGTTTCAGAGATCTACTCAGGCACACATAATCCACATCACCCTTTTATACTATTACGTCCTGGTTGGTGATGAGGCTGGGTCATTATGGAGCTAGTCAGTGCCATAACCACGTAAGGCTCAGCTGTTGTGAGATGTGCTGTAAGTGCACCTCCGCCTGCTGCCTCAGAACTTCATTGCTGTTTCTCTAATTTGATGATGAGCAGTGAGTTTGAAGCTCATAGAACTGTCCAATTGAAGTTCTCTTTAACATTGCCAAACACTTGATAAAGTAAAGCCACAGTTCATACCTACTACCCATCTGTCCACAGCCTTGCCTATATTGAATATTAATGAACATTTGCTCTTATCAGGCTATTGAGTGAAAATTAGATTTATTTTATTTTGGAGAGGTAAACATAATAAATTATTATTGTAAATATATGCAAAATAGTGAATATTATATGCATCTATACACAACATTTGAATAAAAATTATTAAACAATCCCCCAGTACCTAGTACTGAGTTGCATATTAATATTCTCTTAGGAGCATTGTCTGTGGCCTTTCCCAATTGTGTCCCAGTAGTCTGTTTATTTTCACTCCAGCAAATGAGTATGCCATGATTTACTTTTCTTGATTTTTATTTTTATTTCTTAATTTTTATTTTTCATGATTTTACTTTATTATTACCACAGTGATGAGCATTTGGGTGGTTTCTTTCTTTTTCATAATGTCATGGTGTGCCTATTATCTTTCTTGCATATGTCTCCTGGTGGCCATGCACAGGAGAGTTGCAAGGTACATGTAGTCATGAGATTGCTTAGAATAGAGCAGAGAGTTCCAGGTGTCCATCAAAATGTAATCAGGGCACAACAGACTCCCAGTCCTCCATCAGAATGTCTTCCTGCTTCTTCCCACATTTCCCAGGCTCCCTTTCTGCTGAGCACCCTTAACAGCTTCCCATTCTGCTGCTCTTCATCAGAGCCCATGACAAGCAGTGTGCTTCCTCCACGCTCCCTCCTCATTAGTCAAAACCCAAAGGTGCTCAGTGGTCCACCTTCAACTTTGCAGAAAAAGCCCAGGAAAGAACTGCATCCCCCCAAAGCTGGGAGGATCAGAGTTACCCAAGTAACCCAGACTGTGAGAGTCAGAAGTGAGATGTATGAGAAAAATAAACTTCTTTCCCTCGAAGCCATGTCTTGTTCTTCTTCTTCTTATGGCAGCCAGTGCCCCACTGTAATTAAGGCAACGGGAAGCACGTGTTTCCAAAGCTCTGGGGAGTGATGGCCTCCTCCTTTCCAAAGCATTTGAACTGACTAACACTCCTATGGGCACCTCGTGACAGCTCCCATTGCTGCCTGTCCTACCAGCTCTCCTTATTCTTACTTGATGATTTCTGCCTGGCAGTAGGTGAGAAGTATCATCGTGGTGTTGTTTTCATTTAGACATCTCTGCAGATATTGTTAGGACATTTGTACTTTATCTGAAGTGTCTGTCTGAATTTCTTGCTCCCCTTTTTAATATCTTCTTTTATTGTGGTCACACATTATCATCATACAGAATTTGAATTGAAATCGTTCTAAGTGTAAAATCCAGCACCATTAATTACATGCATAGTGTTGTGCAGGCATCACCGCCATCTATTTCTGAAACTCTTTTGTCACCCCACATAGACACTGTGTGATCACTAAAAAGCTGTACCTCCTGATCATCCCCCACCCCACCCCGAACTTCAAGTCCCTGGCAAGCTCTCATCTGTTCACAGTGTCTATGAGTTTGCCAACTTGAAATATTTCATATCTGTGGAATCATACAATATTTGTTCTTTTGGATGTGGCTTAAAAATATGGAAGGTGCCACAAATTTGCATGACATCTTAGCATGGGAACCATTCTAATCTCTACATGGTTCAAATTTTAGTGAGTGAACTGCCAAGTGAATGCATGGATGGTTTTAAACAGATATTTCTTATTGGTTCATAGAAATTCTTTATATATTGTGGATGATAGCACTTTCTTTTTTTTTTTTTTTAAAGTAGGGCCTAAATCTTTTCTCCCACTGTGAGACTTGACTATTTCTGCTGTTTTTCAACCACTTTCCCTTTTTCTGGCTAAGCATAGCTGTACTTTCCTTCACAGTCTCTATTTTCGGTACCTTTAGGAAATCTCTCTCTTCATCCTTGCCTTATTAAGTATTCTAGAATATTTTCTTCGGAAATATTTTAACATTTTACATTTAAACATTTGTTTTCAATATGCCTGAAGTTGATTACATTTGGTGTGGGACAGAAACTCAATCACAGTTTCTAAATGTTTCCAGCAACATTTATTGGTGGCTTATCTGGCCTTGATATTTATTACGCTTCCCTGGAGGGTGAGTTTTCTATATATGCATTGGTGCTAAATCGTTATGTGAATTCTGTATTTTTTTAATTATGGGCATTGTAAGTTTCAAAACCTGGCAGAAGCCTCCCACTCTGGTTTATTCCAGTTTGTTCTGCTTGGTCCTACCTTTTGCCTTTGAAGTTTATGATTAAATCGCCAAATTCCTCAAAAAATACAATGGGTACATTCTACACTTGAACTAAATTTCCAGGTAAAATTGGGGAAAGTGGCTACAAATTCTCTCCTTTTGAGGCAAGTTTGGCTCCTTGGTTATTTTAAATATATTAATAAAGCTTTTATAATGTGTCCACATAGGCCTCTTGAAGCTTTCTAAAGAAAGTGTTATTCTAAATATGCTTTAGATTCATGTCAAGAAATGTCTGAGTTTTACAATTTGACATTAAAATGCTATATTGTTAAAATGACTTGGTTTTGATGCTGAAAAAAAGCTATTTTTTAAAAATATATTGACTTTGCAACCAGCAGCTTTGGCAATGTCTTGTGTGGTCTGATGATTTCTCTGTCCAGCCACGTGAGTTTTGGATGTATCAACTGTCACCCAAGGTGGACATCTTCCCTCCCCTACATCATCCACTGCTTTTCCATATGGTCAAGTGGCTAGCAGGCGCCTGCAGCAGAGTGCTGAGTAGTGGTCAAGAGAGGAAGCATCATTCTTTCCTACCTATAGAGGGGACACTGAGGATTCCCTGGATAATAGGACATTTGATCTGGAGTTCTGTATGTGTTCTATCCCAATAAAGTTTCTGTTCTTCTTCACTCATGTATCGAGATGCTATGAATTGAACCCAGTCTCTCATACACACTAGGCAAGTGCCCTACTACTGAGTTATATTCCCAGCTCTTTTATTCAATATTTTTAAAGTTCATTCTGCATTTTTATCAAAGTTTGGTCTTAGGCTCTTGAGATGACCATATGTGTTTTGTCTTTTAGTCAGTCAATGAAGTGAATATATTTCTCTAAAATTGGACCATTCTTTCTGTCCTGGGACAAGCCCAACGGCACTGTATCTCCACCTCCTGACAAGGTTTGGGAGTCACACTGTTCAATGTTTGTAGTAGAATTCACTAGCAAAACGTTTAGACTTAATGTTGTTTCCTTTTTGGGAGCCTAGTAGATTTAAATTGCTGATTCAAATCCTTTCATGGTAATCACTCTACTCAACTATTTTCATTTTTTTTTTTTGGTGTGAATCAGATTTTATACGCTGTATTTTCTTCTCAGGAAACATTACTACTTCATTCAAGTGGCATAGTATTTCAAAGTTTACTTTGCATGCATATGCCCCTTTCATCCCTAATATTTATTTTTGTTGTGTCTCGTTACATACCCTATTCCTGGCAAACTAGCTCAATCTTATTAGAAAAGTCTTATCTCAAAAATGAAATAAAATAAAATAAAATAAAGGGGGTTGACAGTGAGAAACAGAGTTCTGCCATGTAGCCCAGCATGGCCTGGGACCCCAAATCTTCCATTCTCTATCCTGAGTGCTGGGATTGAAGCCACAGAGTAGTACACAGCAGTGTCCAGCTTGGAAGACTTAAAAAAAAATGGCTTCTCTTCCTTAGCGTGAACTTTGAAATATGAGGATCTTGTTAATAATTCATTCCCTATTCCTGTAATTGTGTGTATTTATCCTCCTGTTGCTTGTTTCCACACAGTTAATTGCAGCCCTCTTGCCTTTTCTGAGCTCCCAGTGAGCTGCTTTGAGCCTTCCGGTTGGTTTTCCAGAAGTTCCAGTGCATGGTACAAAATGTTTCTGTCGTCGCCTTCTACATCCTTCCCGTTCCCATCATGACTCCTTTTCAGTTTCTTCTGTTATTGATTTTTAATTGGATGGCTTTGAGGTCAAGCGACGCTAGCCAGGTGGCAGGCCATTTGGTCTTGATTGCAATTTGTGGCCTCATAAGCAGTCAGGCTTCACAATGTATCAATAACAAAAGGAGGCCTGGTAAAATTACTCTCTCTATTGACAGATCTATCAGCTCCTCCTTGAAAATCTGCTTGTTTTGAGGCTATACCTTAGCTACATAGAAATTCAGATTCGTGTGTCTTTCTCAAACAATTAGCTCTTTATTATTATGTAGTGACCTTCTTCATTATTCATGATGCCTTTTCCATAATATTTATTCTGTTTGGTATTAATCCAGTGGTGCCAGCTTTTTAAAAATAATATTTGCCTATTGTATTTTTCTCTTATCCATTTATTTTGAATACATGTGAGTCATTATGGCTTTAGATATGTTTTCTTTTAAACAGTAGATAATGGATTTCTTCGTAGTCTATCTGATGTTCGTCCTTTAGAATGATGAGCTTACCACACAGTATTTGTTCTCATCGCTAGTGTGTCTGGACTTAATTCCATTATCTTCTCTCATGCTTTATGTCTACATTACCCAACCCCCACTTTCCTCCTTTCCACAGTATTGATTAACTTTCATTATCCCTCTTTGCTCCCACTGTTTATTTGGAAGTGGACACCATTAATACTTCAGGCATGGCTGGTTTATAACATAGAAAAGTATTCAATATTTTTGCATGGTCTCAGAATGGTTCTACTGTTTACAAAATTCTGGCTCTTTAACTCTCATATCAAACTGCTCTATTTTTCTTCTGCATTTTAGTGACATCTTACTGTTACCAATCCCAATCCTTTATCCATGCAACAGTTCCTGTACTCATGTTTCTCTTTCCTCTGACTTTGTTATTCTTCATTTACTTATTTTTTTTAAAAAACATGACTTATGATTTATGTGTAGATACTTTCCTGCACGCGCGTGTGCGTGTGTGTGTGTGTGTGTGTGTGTGTGTGTGTGTGTGTGTACTATGTTCATGCAGTGCCCATAGAGGACAGAAGAGGGCGTTGGATCCCCTGGGAGTTATGGATGTTGTGAGCTGCCATGTGAGTGCTGGGGACAGAACTGGGGTCCTCTGGAAGAGCATCCAGAGCTCTTAACTGCTGAGCCATCTCTCCAGCCCTTCATTTGTTTTCTCATTCCTTGAATAGTTGACTTGCTGGACCTCTTCCAGACAGTAACTTGGTGGTACATTTCTTCAGTCTTGTTTGAAAAGTCTTCTTTTCACTCCTAGTTGGAAATCAAAATTCAGACAGATCTAGGATTTTAGGGCATACATATTAAAGCGTAAAATTTATTTTCTTTCTGCATTTACATTTTGCTGCTGGAAGCCTGTCATTTCTGCATATCTTTTAGTCAAGATTCGATTCATTCACATTTGTTATTGGAAGTATTTCTGAATTTCTTATAAAATTTTATTGCTCAAATGGAAACTTTCTCTTGGTTTATTTATGCTTTTGTTCAATTCTTCTTTTAACAAAAGGGTGACATTTTGCTTTTATTGTCTCCAATATTTTCAAAAGTGTTTCTCTACTTCTTTACGGTATATTTGTAGAAACCTTTTGAAAACCACGTTTAAATTTTAAACAATATTTACCTTTTAAAGCAATTACAGTGTTTGCCAGATGCTCAAGTGGAAACATTTCTGAGTCCTCCCTTAGTGTAGTAGGGACCTCAGGTTGCTTGGTCAACACCCCCTTCCTTTGCTCTCTGGTCTTGATTTCAAGAAATCAGAACACACAGAGTTAGGTTTCAGTAATTAGAATTTTAAATATATATATTCTTTTTTGATTTGAGACATTTTATTTCAGTTTAAGAGGACACAAAATCAACACAACAGTCAACTGGTCTTTCTTCACATCAATAACAACCAACCTGGAAAATAAACAGAGAGAAGACTCCCATTAATAATTAAGAATAAAACACTTGGGAATCAATTCAACTCTAGAGATGAAAGATCTATGCACTAAAGACTATAAATGCTAATAAAAGAAACCAAAGACGACACAAATATATGGAGAAATAGCCTATATTCACAGATTGAAAGAATGAATAATGCTGCAATATACATAATATCCAAAGTAATATATAGCTCCAGCATACGCTCTGTCAAGATTCCACCCCAAATTCATCATGGAAATAGGAGAGAAAAAAAGATTCTTAAATGTGTATGGAACCACAAAAGGCCCAAGATATCTGAGGCAATCTTTAGCAAAACAGAAGGAAGTCAGAAGCACCATATTTCCTGGTTTCAAATTGCCTGACAATTTATAGTGATTGAAACAGTATGGCTTAGGACTAGCTTGTGGTTTAGTGTATCAACACATGCACAGAGACCAACAAAACAGAGCAGGACATTTAGACATAAACTCGTGTGAGTATGGGCTTCTCCGTGTAGACAGACACACTCAGAAAGCAACTATGGGATTTCTTTAATAAGTGGTGCTGAGAAAATGGGTTCTACACATGCAAGTACATGAATCGGGAACCTTTTTTTACACCACATAAAATTTAGCTTGAAATGAATTACCATCCCAAATGTAGACCTGGAACTCTAAAGAAAACAGGGTGAAAAACAACTCCTTGGCAGTGATGATCTTGGCAATGAATTCCTCAGTCAACTGAAGCAAAAACAAATATCTGGAATGAGAACAAACTAAAGAGTTTTGTACAGAAAAGAAAAGAACACAGTGAAAAGGTGGTCCAGAGACTGGAAGAAAGATTCACAAACTGAGTGTTAATAAAATGGTTGCTCTTCACAGTAGGCAAAGGGCTTACCCAACTCTGTGGCAAGCAAACAGAACCAAAAAATACCCCTCAACTAAACAAGGGGGCATGAGTTGAGTAGCCATTTTCTTCAAGGAAGACATAAGAATGGCCAGGAAGGACTGGGAAGATGGTTCAGTTGGTGAAATGCTTGTTATAAAAGCATGTTGAGTTTGAGCCACAGAACCTCCATTAAACAGACAAACCAACCAACCAACCAACCAACCAAACCAAACCAAACCAAAACAACAACAACAACAACAACAACAACAACAAAACAGCCCAGTGGTACATACCTGTAATCCCAGCACTGGAGAGGCAGAGAGAAGAGGATGCTGGGGGCTCCCAGGCCAGTTAGTAAAGATGATTCAGTGAGCACCAGGTTCTGTGAGAAACCCTGTGTCTCTCATATACACCAGAAGAGAAGGTGGAGAGTGCCTCCACACGGGTTCACATGTCCCCACATTTGCTTATTCCCCACCCCCTAATGGCTAGTGAGTGAAAAGATACTCAAGTTACCAGTAAGGAGATGAGAATCAAATCCATGATGGGACAATGAGGTATCACCTCATGCAGTAACGGGTGCTGTCCAAAAGAAGGACAAGAGACAGCAAGCGATGGTAGGAGCAGCAGAAAGGAGGTTCCTCAAATGTCTAAAAATAAAACCACAACATCAGCTAGAATCCCTCTTCTGGTTTTATACTCAGGGGAAATGAAAGCTGCACCTTACAGAGATGTCTGCACTCTGGTGCTCACACAGCATTATTCGTAATAGGAAAGATATTAAAACAACTCATGTCCATCAGCTGATAATAATGAAATTATATTTATATATAATGAATTATTGTTCAGCCTTGAAAAAGGAGATTTTGCTACTTGTTACAGAATAAATAAACCCAGAGGATATTAAGTGAAAAAAAAAAACAAACCACAGATGTAGGGGAGGGAGACTGTTGCATGATCTTGCTTGTATATGGAATAGAAAGTTAAAAAAATACATAGAACAGTTAAAATGGCGGATGCTGTTGGGGCAAGAGGGAAAGGGATTCAGGTCAAAGAGTGTAACATTGCAGTTCCATAGGATGAATGAAAAGCTAAAGCTAGCGTGCAAGCAGATTTCTAATGTACAACACCAAACTTCCTCTCTTTATCAACTGAAATAAATCTTCAGGCATTTATTTTTCTAAACACTTACACATTTTCTGACACCTGAAACATAACTAAAAAGTGTTTGTTGCCTTCAGTTTGCTGGGCACACTCCTTCTATAACACCAATTTTCACTCCTAAAACAAAACAACATAGCCCCAATCACACAAATGCTCTTATTTTCTTTGAATTTACTGTTCTGAAACTAGTATTTATGTTACTGAAAGTAACAGGCATGCTTTCCTTCATTTTCTAAACAGTCTGTCTGATTGTTATTGTGTGTGTGTGTGTGTGTGTGTGTGTGTGTGTGTGTGTGTGTGTGTCCTTGGGTAGGTGTAAGATTTCTTTATAGCTGTATGGAATCTGGGATGCTGGTTCAGAGAGTAAAGGCACTGGCCACCAAGCTTGACAACCTGACTTCTGTCCCCAGGACCTACATGGTGGGAGGAGAGAACTGTCCAAGGCAGGTTGTTCTCTGATCCCCATATGCATGCCGTGACATGTATCCCCTCCCCTAAATAAATAAACATATGTAATGAAATTTTTGCCAAGTACTTAACGTAGTTCAAAAACACCCAGATGTGACTATCACATTGTTACTCAGCAAAGAAAAGTTATATTCTTTTATAGTTGTGTCAGTTTTCATGTTTTTTTGCATAGATGCCTCTTTTAGGAACTTCTAACTGTTCTGGGAATTGTTCCAGGACCCCTGAAACTCTCCACCTTCTTACAAGCAGCTAGTTCAATTTTACATATGTTGGTTCTCCCTTTTCTGTTCCCCGGGTGCTTTGTCTTCTCTCTTAATGTTGCCCTTTTCTACCTTCTTTGTGGGCATTCCTAGGAAGGCTTTTCCGCATCATCCAGTCAATGCTCAGCAGCAACACATCTGCTCTTACTGAGATATCCATCTGACAATGAGTTCTGTTTCCTTAAAACCCTTCTCTATCTCTCAATCTATTTCTTGGCCAAGGGAGCTCCCTCGCTGGCTATGTTGTTACCCTTCCCTGTTATCTCACTCTCTTGCCTTTGGAGTTTATGTCTTCTGCGTGTCAAGAAGTTCTCTGGAAGTTTCTCCAGAGTTCACAGAGCATCCACTTCAGTGGGTACCCCCCAAACTCAGGTCTTAAGGTGCTGCTCTTGTTCTTTCATCCTTCCTCAGGCCATCCTCAGCCCTCTTCCTTTCCTCAAGGAGGAAGTCACTACTTTGGAGTGGATTCTGTGAGGCAGGATGAGTGGGTTGACCTCTACTCCCCAGTCTGCCTACTGGCTTGATGTAGGCCTATGGTTGGAGGGCCAGTAGTGTTCACCTGTCAGCTACTTCACAGAGGCGAGTGTGCTCTACTGAGCTTCCTCCACCCTCCATCCTACCCCTCTGGTACTCTGACCTAATGTGTGTCACAGGATAAAGCTAGTTAATAAGATGCACAATCATTACTACTGTGTCTACTCCAGTCAATTGACTGTTATTTGATTCAGAAATAAACTGTGTCTTCCTGAGCTAGTCCACCTGCCCATTTGCCTCTCTCATTTTAAAGGTTTTCTTTGGAATAAGAAGATACTGAGTGTTAATCTATGGATATAACAATGAGTTATAAGTTTAAATACTATGTCCATTTACCAAATAATAGTAATATATAGAATATAATAATATTCTCTCCTGGGGCTTATAACCTGTCTAGCTGTAGGTTCTTGGTTGGGTAATGGTGCCAAGCATAGGTTTCATCATGTGGGATGGGACTTAGATCCAATCAGAAGCAGAGTGTTAGTAGTTACACCCACGATGCTTATGCCACTACTACACAGTGGGGTGGCGGACGACTACAAGAAAACAATGACACAGCAAGGTAGCTGCATGTCCACGAACTCACAGCAGTTATGAGAGCATTCTCAAGACCTGTGCAAGCCCAAGCCAGAGCAAATCCTAGCATGGAAGGTGGGCACAAAGTCTCACTCACCCTGAGCTGAAGATAATTTTAACAGCTGTTGGGAGAGAGGGAGTCAGTTTATGTCCTCTTATCAGAGAATATAGCCCTTGATAAGTTGACCATGCTCCAGTTGAAGGTCACATATACAAGGCTATGTGGGTAGCACAAACTGGGCTTGATAGGTTAATAAAAAAATAAAACTAACTAACTAAGCAGGAACACAAAGTTGGTGGGTAGGGGAGTAGGGAGTAGGTCTGGAAGGAATTAGGGGAAGGTGGATAAACATGATCAGAACACACTGTACGAAATTCTCAAAGAACACACACACACACACACACACACACACACACACACACACACACACACACACCTTTAAAGCAGCTTGTTTTTAAGGAAGAGAATTTGACATATGGCATACATGCGCTTGATCATTTTTTTCCCCTCAATCCCATTTCATCTACCTTGAAAGTGTTGTCAGTCCCTTCCACATCCTGGCAATGCAGTTGCCTGTCAGTGTTTGTTACCTTGTTATGTAAATTCCTCACATGCATCTGTATCTGCTGGGAAATTTGCCCTGAGACAGAAGAAGCAGATGGCTGAAAGCCACTATCCAGAGGCCATGTGGGTAGGAAGCAGGGCACACTTTGGTCCTTTACCTCTCTTTCCAGGAAGATGGAGGGCTCTAGGGATCCTAAAGAAAGAGACTGGATTCCAGGCATCACTGGGTCTCCCCAACACTCTACAAGACACTGGTGTAGCATTGCTGTGGAGTGAGTGCAGAATGGACAAAGAGGGCAGAGGAAGTTTTTCATTATTTGTCTATCATCCACTCAAATGGATCTTGAAGAGTCCACGTGCTTCTCTGAAAAGAATTAATGAAGAATGTGTCTTGCAGCTTAAGAATCTAATTAAAGGTAGCCCAGGTCACAGAGTATGTAACAAAAGCATCAATTTATGAGGAGAATATATTTTAAAAGGAAAAAGACAGGATATGCAAGCAACAGTACCTTCTCACATATAAGCACACAGGTGGTCTTCTCAGGTAGTTAGCTTTGTCCTTCTCTAAGCTAACAGATGGCTTGAAGACGTGGTGAGTATGTTAGAAAAAGGGTGTAAATTGGGGGCAGATCGGGCACTTTCTAACAAGGGAGTTTTGTGACGAAGATTATGCAATTGCTTTCACCAGAAAGCACTTTACAACCATGAGACCCCAAACTGTTTAGCTGTGAGCAGTGAACCGGTTGGGTTCTTCCAAGCCTTCTTGCCAAAGGGCCTCTGAGTCTCACTGAAAGGGTTCAGTCCCTTCTTGGGCACCTGAGAGCCCTCAGCTCCTGGCCTTGGTAGTGCACATCTGTCACTCTGAAGGAGTGATTTAGTGATATCAAATAGCCCAGATATTAATCAAGAGAACAAGTGAGCATTTGACACCAGAGAAGGAAAACACAGGCAAGGTGTGACACGGGGGTAAAACATATCCCCAGATGTGGACTTCCAGGCCAGCCATGCTGTTTGAGGTATAACTCATTGCAAGAGAAAGACCAATGCACTCTACAGGAAAATAAACAACAATAAAAACAAAACAAAACAACAAACAAACAACAACAGTGATTAACATGATCGGGAAAGTCAAGTTTCTTGAGTTATAATGGAAATTAGCAGGCAGCCACAAACTGAGGTTCTTCTCACCAAAAGCATCAGCAGGTTCTAGAAGTCACAGAAACTGTTCCCATAGTCCTCTGCGTTGATATTACCACCCCTAGCAATCCAACCCTCCCTTATTACCTGCCCCCACCTTCCTCCTTCCAGCTGTAGAACATTTCCTTCTAACAGGAAGGAATTTCCAATGCAGGTGCCACATAAACCCAAAGTGATGCGGATGGAAGCCCTGTCCCTGGGCTACTCTGGTCTATCACCTCCAAGCTGTCTCCAGAGGAGGCTCCGGCACAATTTGAAACTTTTGGCCCAAGCCCTACTGTGTAGAGGGAAGCAGGGCTATGAGACCCCACTGGAGGGTCTGTGGATCCTCCTGTTCCCCACAGTTTTAAAATCCACAGGGGTGAGGGCAGGGAGCCTGGTGTTTTCAGGGAGCTCAGCTGCTGATTTGGGGAACAGGCTGAAAGACATAGCAGTGTTCTTTTCTGATGCCTGTACTTGACCTGCTCCAAGGGACCTCCGAAGTGTGCCATTTCACGGGTGGGTAATGCCCAGTTCTGTCTACAGCCAGATCAGGGAGAGGCACTGAGTACACACAGAGATGCAGCTGGAAGAGTTAGTGAGAGGGATCGAGAAGAGGCTTCTTGACAGGTGGGGCTTGAGTAGATATAGAGGGCTGGAAATACAACTCAGCTCATTTCAGTTTTGTAAACAAACATCCTACATGGTGCTCAACAAACTCATGGTGTTTCTATCCTGATCACCCCACAGCAGCTTCGCGGTTGTGTTATCCTCGAGTCCTCTGGCAGCCCAGCATGCCAATGCCTATTTTTTTTATTGTCATTCCTCTGCCGTTTAATAAGTTCCCTGTCCATCACGTCCCCAGTCTGTCAGGGTATGCCTGGTGCATCATAAATACTCAGTAAATATTTCCTGAGTAGGTGGATGAATGTGAGACTAGCTAAGGTCTGGTATGGAGGCAGTGAAGAGTCAAGCACTGTAGGCCATGAGAGGGCCGAGCAGAAACTGGGAGGAGAATGGAGTTACAGGGATCGTGTACTAAAACCTGGAGGCCATTCCAGAGTGTCCTGTCTTTCTTCCGGAGACAGTGGGGAGCCTCTGGATTGATAAGATATAAAGAGATAAGATCAAGATTAGCTTAGGGAATCTAAGGTGGCAACAGCACTCAGCAGGGTTACAGGGGACAGAAGCCTGGTGGCCTTTTAGAGATTCTTCAGTCGTCCAGAGGAAGGCAGTGTGACATGGAACTGAAACAGATTTATGGACTTGGGACAAAGGCTCCTTGGGAAGAGGTAGTGGGAAAGGTGGTTTTGCTGGGTGTGCTTGGAGGAGTGAAGGGGAGAAGAGAGCCTGAAACAACTCATCCATACATCCATCATCCACCTGCTATTATCTATTCACCCATCCATCTATTCACCCATCCACCCATCCATCCAACTATCCATCCATCCAACTATCCATCCATCCATCTGTGATCCATCCATCCATCTGTGATCCAGCCATCATGCATCCATTCATCCATCCATCCATCTATTTGTGATCCATCCTATCCACCCATCCATCCATCCATCCATCTGTCATCCATCTATGATCCATCCATTATCCATCCATAGGGATGGCTGCAAGTGGAAGAGCAGAGGAAGTTGCTAAGGAGTTGGTCATGGGTGTAAAGAGGTGAGGCTTCAAGGAAAAAACTTTAGAGAGATCCTGCTCTTAGGAGATGAAGAGGTAAAGGAGGAAGAGCAAGAAGCAATAAAGACAGACAGGCAGTGAAACTGGACTGTGGAAAGTGTTGCCAAAGCTGAAGAAGATGCATTGCCACCCATGCCAGAGGGGGCTTCCCTTGCTTCAGAGACTTCAAGACACAGCTGGTGCTGTGGAGGGACAGAGAGCAACTTAGGTAGCATTAGGGAGGATGAAGAAGTGGGGGTCATTGGCGGGTGTCTTTCAGGTTCTGAGGCTGGCTGGCTGGAGGGTAGGTGAAGACACAGGCAGCCTGGGAAACAAAGAACCGAACCGTCAGAATCAGGAAACAAGAGTGTGGCTGAGTTTGAGGGGAAGGGGAAGCAGTCACTGTAAAAAGACAGAGTGGGAAACTGATGTTCCCAAAAGGTCCTCAAAAGAGAGTTGTCAAATTGTTAACCTCTTAACAACTCCTGAAAAAGGTTTGGGGAGACATCTGAAGCCCTTCCCAGGTGAGTCATCCAGATGTGGTGATATATTGTATACCCCAATAAAGTTGCCTGAGGATCAGAGGACAGAGCCAGCTACTAGATTAGACATAGAGCCAGGCAGTGGTGGCACACACCTTTAATCTCAGCACTTGAGATCTCATGCCTTTGCTTGGAAAGTACACACGCCTTTAATCTCAGGAAGTAATATGGCAGGGCAGAGAAAGGTATATAAGGCGTGAGGAAACAGGAACTCACTCTCATTAGGCCGAGGATTTCGTAGAGATAAGAACTAGTGGCTGGCTGTTCTGCTTCTTGGATCTTTCAGCTTTCACCCTGATATCTGGCTTTGGTTTTTTATTTATTTTATTTTTATTAAAAGACCATCTAAGATTCGAACAACATCCAGGGGCATCCCCAACTCTGTAGGAAGTCTGAGGGTGAGGGAAGAGGCAAGGACCTTCTACTACACAACCTTTGGCAAGCCTCAAGGCCAGTGTCTTCTCTGAAACAGTCTGACCCTATCAACAGACAGCAGAACAGAGCGCTATCATGAGGGCTGACCGTGGGAGAATCACTCCCATTTCCAGAACCCTGGTCTCCTGTGGCTGCAGAACCCAGTCCTTCCCACCCACCTCCAGTCCTGGTCTACAAGATGTCTTTCTCTGGCTCCGTACTCTGGGGACCCTCGAGTTGCCAGACTGCCTGCTGTTTCTTCATAGATAGCCCTGAAACCCCAGATCTTCACACCAAGACTCTTTTGGGAAGACTCATCCCTACAGTGGATGCTCAGAGACCCATCTGGGAAGAGCCTTCTGCAGGTAGGGATATGATAGGAAGCTCACCAGGCGTCCTGGCTACCCCTAAGTGGCAGCCACAAAGGCTCGAAAACACCTTCACTCACTCACTCCACAGAAGCATGCCAAGAGTGAACTATTAAAACAGCACCGGGAATTCTGAGTGAACAAAACCAGACAAAACTCAACAATAAACAAAACTGATCAGCAAAATGCTCTTGAGAGGAGGCACGCTGCTTAGGAGTAGTCAGGAGTAGCTCTGCGGTGGCTGTAAAAGTTAAGGGACCTCAATTGACTTCTTGGCTGAGCCCTCTCCTTTCCAGCCTGGGGAGCTAGGGTGCGAGGATGCAGTTCTTCAAAATCACCACGAGGGGGAGCGCGGTCCCCTCCTAGCGCCTTCCCAACCCTCCCGCACAGCCTTGCAAGCAAAAGTTTTTCTTAAACTAACAATGCCAGTGTAAGGAGGTGCTCGCGCCTGATTGGATGAGGGAATTTTGCAGGTTTGATTCCTTGATTGGACAGGAGGTGTTAGGGGTGGAGAGAGAGCTGATGGTGGGGGATCCCGCTCCCTCCCCCGTCAGTCTGGCCCGCTCTGTCCTCCCGTAGGCTCCGCTGTAGCTCGCAATGTGACACCAGGACGCACACGCTCTCGCGCGCTCTCCCAGGCTCGCTCTCCCTCACCCTCTCTCACACACGCACGCACACACCCACCTCTCCCATAAACACACACATACACATGCACACCCACATCCACGCGCGCCCGCACCGCCCCACGCGCGCACACTCCCGCCCACGCCCACGCCGCGCTCCGGGGAGTCCGGTCCCGGCCAGAGCCAGAAAGGACACGGAGAAGCCACCCGCCGGGAGCGCAGCGGCGCCCCGGGACGCGGCGCGTCTCGGCTCGGGCTCGGCCTGGGGGCCGCTGGCCGGCGATGGCCCTGGATTGCCTGCTGCTGCTCCTCCTGGCATCTGCAGTGGCCGCGATGGAAGGTAACGTACCCCTTTCGTGGCGCAACTTGGTGGCTGCCAGCTGCCAGTTCCCGGGTGTCGCACGCTTCTCGGGGCTCCTTTGGTTGCTCGGTGTAGTCAGGCATCCTGGTGCCTGAGGGCAAGGATGTCCCAGAACCTGGGAGGAGACGGGGCACCGGGCTGGGGCGGTACCCACAGGTATGCCCCGGGCCGACCCTGGGCACCCGCCGCTGGTTCGCAGAGTCTCCATGCTCCGTGCCCCGGTGCTCGCAGACACCACGATCCCCGGACTTCTCCGACTCGGAGAGCTCGGAGCCCGCTGCATTGCGGTGCAAGCTCCTTAGGTCCAGGAGAAGCTGGTCTGGGAAGGGATACCTCGGGCCACGGGGCTCCTAGACTCGGCACCTTCGGCTCTTTCACTACCCGGCCTGGATGCGCTGGCGAGCGGTGGCGCGCCGCCTCCCTTTCCCAGCTCGCTCGCAGTCTGATGCTCGGGACTCTAGGCTCGGCAGGCTAGAGCTGCGCGGGGGATGAGAGAAGCTTCGAGCCGGTACCCTGCAAGTGGCTGGCAAGCAAGGGGGGCCAAGTCCAGTGACCGCACCCTGGGGGGATTAGTCTGAGAACCTGCGGGGCTACAATCTTCCGGAGGCAGCAAGAGCGAGGTGGACACATTTCTCGCCTTCTGAGCTTTGGAGCAGGGGTGGGCTGGGGTGAGTGCCGATCCTGCCTAAACTCATCTCCAAGAGAAGAGACTGCGTGGTTTGCGAGCCCACTAGCAGCGACACCATCCCTGCTGGCTCAGCGTGGTTGTGCCTCCGGCTGGTGTCCAGCCAAACCCGCTCAGCGGACCCCTTGCGGGGCGCGCCCGGGAGCTGAGGCACTCAAGGCGCTCGCGAATCCCAGTGGGAAATCCCTGCTCTGCTCGCCTCCCCGCCTCCCGCCCCCTTCCCCGCCCCCAATCTTCCCAGCTGAGCTGTGGTGCCCGCCACCTCCTGGGGGGGCATCTCAGCAGGGGAGCAGAGTTAGTTAGCTGGAAGGGAGCAACTCTGGGGTGAGGTTCCGTCATCACTTCTGCTCGAAGCCCCACTACCCGATGGATGGAGGTCGCTTGCCAGGCGGACTCCACCCGGACACACGGGGTGGAAGGGTCGCAGCTCCTGGTTTCCCCTGCTGCGTTTCCATCTGAGAGGTCGCTTGCCAGGCTGACTCCGCCGGGTAGCGGGTTCCAGGTGAACTGACTCGCTCAGTTGAAACTCCATACCAATATTGGTCCAGTGTCCCTGACCCTTCCAGAAAGCACTGCTTCTTTCCAAGAGAAGCGGGCATACCCCCACGCCCCACCGGGTCAAAGCAGCGAAGATGTCTTAGCCATGGCAAAGACTACCGCCACTGCCCGGTACCTGTGGTTATGGTGATGAGAGGAGCAGGGACTAATGTATATAGAAAGCTTTCTCTCGCTTTTCCCAAGGTGGCTTTTTGTTTGCCCTCGGCTTCCCTGCCAGGCTGCCGATCTTCGTGTGTGTGTGTGTGTGTGTGTGTGTGTGTGTGTGTGTGTGTGTGTGTGTGTGACTTTTGGATTGTGCAGGGTTTAGACTGCCATGGAGTGTGGTCAGCGCCCCAGCGTAGGCTTGAGGTTGACTCATCCGGAGACACGTGCAGAAGCAGTTGAAATAGAAAGGGATAGATAACAACCCCGCAACAAAGCCAGGCAAGAGCAAATGCAAGGCGGGGTGGCCTACAGGACTGTGTGGGCTGGGGTGGCTGGCGACACATCGTCGGTCTGAGGCTGCTCAGGTCCACCGCTCTTAGCGCCTCTGCAGGGTCGAGGATTCGGTCTCAGAGAGCAGATGGGATGTCCACTTTAGGAAGTCTGCTCTTGGCTTTGAGTCTCAGTAGATGAAGGAGGGGACATATATGTAGGTGAAATAGTTTGCAAAGCAGTGTGTGGGAACAAATCAGGCACCAGGACACATTCCTCCCCAAACACTTTTCCTTTTCCCCCCACTAGCTCCTTTGCCTTCGCGATGGAGCTGCGCACGGGTGCCATTGTGTACGTTCAGCCTGGTGTACAGGGCTGTGTCACCCAGGCCTGCTGGCAGGATCCACTTCCGAGCTGTGGCCTCCTCTCGGTGTAGGGTTGGGGGGGACTTTACCAGTTGCTTGACAGGAAAGCCTTATTCTGTGGTTTGAAATTCTCTGTAAGGGTTAAAAGAAATACCACATTCAGCAGAATATTCAAGCGGCGCCTTGTCCCTGCTAAGCGTGCAGGGGTAGAACACACCATTCGCTCCCTCTTTTTCTCGAATGACAACAGGCAGGTTCATTTTCTCCTCTCCACACACAGAGCCGCCTTCCCGCCTGCCCGCCTGCCTGCCTGCCTGCCTGCCTGGGTTGGGGCCAGCCTCATTTGGTTTGTGATGAGTACAGAATAATTCTCAGAGGAGTGGATCAATGAGCTGCCTACACAGACCGCAGGCCCTCCCCAAACTCTGCTCCGGGGGAGGCAGTGTTCTTGGTGATCTCAGCCACTTGTGT